AAAAAAACAAAAACAAAAAAAGGAACGAAAGAAAAAAACACAAAGAAAACAAAAAAAAGAAGAGAGGGAAAAACAAAAAAAATGAGGGACGAAAACAAAACAATGAGAAAGGAGATGGAGGGCGGCAGTTAACACAGAAGAGAGGGCAAGGGCAACAAGGGTATAATTGTAATGTTTGGTCCTATTTTGAGGATAAAAACATAGAAGTCCTATTTTGGGCATAAACTCTATGTTTTAGTCCTATTAAGGGTGATTTCTTATGATTATTCAAATTTTTCTATTAATGCCTTATTTTACTTGAATTGTATAATCGGTCTTTTTTTCTCAAAAGGATGGCATTTTGGAACTTTCCTCGTCATATGTTAGAGTAGGTAGGACTGATTTTATTTAGGGAAAAATTATATGCTTAAGTCCTATTTACGTAAATTTCTCTTTATCTTTTTTTTTTCTCTCTATATGTGTGTGTGTGTTAATTATACACTAGTTCTGCCAATAATCTCAATAATATATTTAATTTTATGTTCATGAGTATTGTGTTGTTTATAAATGAGTATTAAAATTAAAGTAAATAGTATGGATTTTTCTAAATGAGTATATTATGTTTTGAGACTATTTTTCAAATATGTGAAAATAAGTATTTTATTAACTTAAAATAATTATTCGTGGGGAGTACAATCCTGTTGTATGGAATACAAACTCGTATTCCCTCTGTCCTAAAATTAACTTTCCATTTGATTTTTTACGGTCTCCAATGCGACACTTTGACCATCAATATCTCAATTTTTATATAAATATATTTTATAAAAATTATATATTTCAAAACTATGTTTCAAAATGAATCTATTGCTAATAAATTTATAAGAAAATTCAATGTGTTTTTTTCATAATACACGGTCAAAGTTTAAAAAATTTGACTACAAAAGTCAAACTGGGAAGTTAATTTTAGAACGGAGAGAGTACAAAACACGATATAAAAACATGATATATAGAAGAAATCACCGCTAATAGGAGTAAAACATAGCCTATATCCCCAAAATAGGAGTGCTATGTTCTTATGCCCGAAATAGGACTAAAATTATTTTCTTTAAAACAAATCGCGCACTCGCACACTTTCTGGAGACTTTCTATGATTTTCGACAAAAAAAAATCCCATGCGCATCATCTTTCATTCTTGACCGATTGTGTCCCTTTGGCCTCTTTCCATTAAATTTGTTGATCATTCTTGCTGTTATTGGGTTCTTTGGAATCGTTTATAACAAGGGATCATCAATTCAAGCTCTTCCGTGTTGATTTGTGGCTGAAATTTGCAAAATTGAAGATTAAAATCCATGAGCTTACTATTCAATTGGAAACCTTACACAGTGGATTCACTACGATTTCGTCCAAATTGAAGGCCAAGCTTGAGGGATTAGGAGCGACTAGAGATGCTAATTGAGAATCCAAAGTTGGTCTGAGATTCGTTTTTACCGAGGTTCATGCTTCGCCTCCTTCAAGCTTTTGGTGTTTTGGGGTATTGTTTAGGAGCCTTTCACTTTTTTTAAAGGATGATTTTCCTGATTGGATTGTTGTACATGTTCTTCAGTTCCAGTGTTGCTCTTATTCTGGGTTTGGGTTTGAACTTTTGGTTTGAGGCTAGGGCTGCTTGAAGTGTGTGTTTGAGTGATGTATGAATTTTGCTAGAACCATGCAACTAATTAAATTGAACAAGACGGGAAGACTTTTGGGGGTGAGTCTCTTTGAAGATGCGAAGGAACTTGTTTGTTGTTTTCGTACAAGTCATTGCTCACTACTTTGGACTTTTGGTGAGAACCTTTGAGGAGAATGCAGCTTTGGAGCTACTGGTTTTGAGGTCTTGCAGTACCTCAAAGTGTTTTTGCCATTCTTGGAGTGTTTTGTCCTATGACACTACGGTTGTTGTTTGCTAAAAGTTGGCAGCCTTTTTCGAACAACACCTTGGATGGGAAGGGCTATTGTTGAGTCTATACCGATAGCTTTTGTCCGCCTTGCCATCTGTTTCATTACCACCTTCGCCAAGTTCCTTGGGGACCAGGATGTTGGTTTCCTTCAAGCTTGATGGAGGTTGGGGACAAATTTTGATTTCTAAGTAGAGGGTTACGGGCCACTTTCCAACCATCTTCTTGGTTGGGTTTAGGGCTTTTCGGTGCAAAGGGATGCTGGCCTAGTTATGCTATGTTGGTCTCCATTTGTGTGTTATGCATATTGAGTGGGCATGGCGTTAGTGGCCTTTCCAATGCCATCATCGCCCCTGCCCTAACCCCTCTTCACCCCTGCCCTCACCCATCGTGNATGGCATTGTATATAACTACATGAGAAACTATGGCATTGTATATGTAAATCTATGGCATTATATACAGGAATATGTGGCATTATGCATTGAGAGCATTGTAGTCGTCGATGATGGTAAAAAATCAACGCCAACAATGGTGGATTTTTGGCAGGGCACACACATCATCGCAGTGGAGTCGGAGTAGGCTATCGGAGGAGAGAGAAGTGACTGTAGCATGCAACAGAGACGCGGTGGTAGTGGGCCACGTTGATGGCGGCAAGAGGTCGTGGTGACGACGGCAGGGGGTGCTAGCATTGGCGGTAAGCTTCCATCAACAGCAGTGAGTTTCCAATTCATTTTCATTCTTTTGTTCTGTAGTAGCGTCACTGAGGGGGTGCTGGCATTGACAATTTTTTTAGTTTTACAATTATCATGTTTTGGTCCAAAGATTAGAGTCTTAATTGCATCGGTAGGCAACACAGCATGTGAGTATTTTATTTCTTTTTAATATAAATTACTTTAGTTATTACTCCTATTTAGGGGATTTTAAGTTTTAACTCTTATTTTAGGGATATGGTATATGTTTTACTCCTAGTTTAGTCCTTTTCCCTATAAGATTTATATTTACATTCCACTGGTATGGAAGTACTCCCTACTCCCTAGCATTTTTGTTTTGGACTATATCTGCCTTAAATCATGGCCCGTTTACATCATTATAATTTTATACGAAACGGGTGAGTAGTACGGTTTCTAAACAAGGCCCAAGGTCTCAAATATTTGAGCGCTGAATGTAGTCACGATCAGACAAGGAAATAGTAGCATATTGACGGCATCTTGCTCGCCACGTGTATGTACCGATTGGCGTTTCCAATTTCAACATTTCCGGATTTCATCTCCGGTCAACCATCACCATCTGGAATCTGGAGAGGAAGAAATCAATCCTCTATCCTCTGCCGATAAACGTTTAAAACCCGTCCACATTCATCAAAACCATTGCCCATTCCACATTTCGAAGCTCATATTTATCCCTTTTCCCGTATTGCGGATCGGCTTTTTGTATTCTCCCTTTTGTATCAGTCAGTTGATCGGAGGCGGATCCATGGCGGAGAAATCGTTCAAGTACGTGATCATCGGCGGTGGCGTTGCTGCTGTAAGTTTTCACCATCTCTCGAATGGATTGTTTGATTCACAGCTTTGTCTGATATTGTCGGATGTGTTTTTATGTATTTTATCTTCGAAATTCATAGTTTAGTATTCCAGCGCTACTGCGATCAAGTTCGGTTTAGACTGGCACCGTGCGATTCCAAGTGTTTTACTGTGTCATCTGTAACTCTGTTTTCCAGCGGATGTAAGGTTGGTTATAGAATTCTCCTTCTGATTTTGTGAGAGTTCTTTAATCCTGCACCATTGGTGTCAAAGCCTTTGATCCAACTTGGGACGGAAGAAATCTGGTGCCTACCTGAAAAGGTATAGCAATGGAAGACTGCCATTCAAGCGAAACATGGAGGAGCACAAAGGATAGATGCAACAGCAGATTGATCTACAAAACCAAAGGATGGTAGAACAACACATAGTTATCACGGCGTTGCCTTTCCTCGCCTAGGTGTCCCCTTAGCCTCGCCTAGTCGAGTACTTCTGTTTTTTCACTCCAGTAGTCCAATGCTTTATTTTTGAAGTGTTTTATACCCCCTGCTCCACTGCTCCAGTGCTTTGTTTTTTTGCTTTATAAATTAGTTTATTTTATTTTCAAGTTAATGTTTTTTTCTACTATATCTTCCTAATTAATACTCGGTGCTTAATTTTTTAAATTTAAAATGATTAATTTATTACCAGCTTAAGTTGCTAACACCTTTTTTCAACTTTTGTTTTTTGTTTTTTTGAGGAAAATACTTAAAAGTAACTTTGGTAGTTAAACTTTGATGTATTAGAAAAATTTAAACTTTACCAACTACAATATATAATTTGATATATTTATATTAGTGTTTTTAATGTAAAGCAATTCTCCAATATTATGCTTCGCCTAATTGTCGCTTAGGCGGTCGCCTAGTCGACTAGGCGTCCTGGCGGTATCCCAGTGCCGCACCTAGACTTGGCGTCGTGATAACTATGGAACAACAATAACACATGTTCCATCATCAACAACAAAGCAACCTCACGAGTCATGACACAGATCTTAGCCCAGCTGCAGATTTCATAGGAAAAACATCAAAATACAGGAGCCCCTACTGAACTACATGTGAGAAACAACTTTCCATTTAACTCCGAGGTTGAGTTTCCGTTGTTTGATGGAAGCGATCCCAAAGGATGGGTTAAGAAATGCATTAGGTATTTCACATTATGTAAGATGAATGATGATCAAGGCGTCGTTCTAGCAGCACTTCATCTGAAGGGACCACTGAGGTGTGGTTCAATAGCTACATTTCTGGATAAAGAAATGTCACCTGGGATGAGTTCATCATAGACATGTGCTCCAGGCTTCACGATGATTTGGGATGCAAGGTGGTAGGACTGGTAGAAAATTATTCTAGACCGGATGACTATATTGACATGATCGAAGAATTGAAGGCTCTAAATTTGCTTAAAAAATCCCACCCTGCCACCCTTAGAGGGCTAACACCTACCATTAAACCTATGGCTAGGCCTTTTAAACTCATCTCATTTACTCATTGAATACATCCATAGAACATGCCCAGTATCAAGATAAAGTTGTATCTGTTCTGAAGAATTCCCAGGCTCTGAAGAATCACCAGGACAAAAATTCCAATGGGACCCTTGTATCAAGTTACGAGTAAACAACTTTCTAACTAAAAGGGGCTAATACCTATCACAATTTTACCCCCAAAGTTAATACTAACACTAACTGGCAGAAACCTACCAGGTTCATCCCAGCTGCTGAAATAGCATAGAACATTGCCAAGGGACTGTGCTTCTTGTGCAACAAGCCATTTTAGAAGAGACATATATCGAACCAAGGATAAAAACTATTCCCGGTGAAAGTTTTGGATGTAGAAGAGGAAAAGGATGTAAACGACAGTTTAGGGGTAGACGAGAGTTACAGATTTAAGAAATGGTTCCCAAAATCTCCCCGAATGCCATGAGTCGTACCACTGGTTTCCAAATTATGAGGGGAATGAAGAAAAGGTTCCCAAAATCTCCACGAATGCCATGAGTCGTACCACTGGTTTCCAAATTATGAGGGGAAGAACGTACCAAACACTTGGAAGTTGGAAGCCACTCAAGATTCTAGCAAGAAGGATGGTCAAGAATCACAAGGCGGTCACATAGTACATTCTTCAATTGGAAGGACAGAGTGAAGATCAAGTAACCTGGATGTTATCTACAGATCTCTATAAGAAACTCCCAAATTTCCAGTCTTGAAGTATAGCCTTGAGGACAAGTCTTGCTCAGGGGGAAGCTTTTATGCAATTCCTATTATTATTATTATTATTATTATTATTCCGGCCTAATAGCTCTAAACCCCCTTGTGGTTTGGAAAATAGGCACCAAAACCCCCCCTGTTTTCAATACTTACTCCTAAAATCCCTATGGTTTCTAAAAGCAGCATCTATACCCCCTCCATCGGATTTTTTGAGGCGCGTGCATCACACGCTCCGGTGAATGGGCTGGGAATTTGATAAAGGGGGGGCATTAGTGCTCCATTTTCAAACCATAGGCGGCTACCATGTGACTAGTCTATTTTATTATGACAAAAATGTCCTTCATCCAATTTTTTATTTTTTTCAATATTCCTTATAACGTTATTGGTTTTTTAGAACATTAAAAGTGTCTTTTTTTATTTTTAAGATGGTGACATTTTCTTTTGTGTATAATACTTTTTATCTTATTCAATTTTTCATTTCTTATTGTATTTCAATATTCAATTTTTCAATATTCAATTTTTTTATTGTATTTCATTTCCTATTCGTTATTTACATGTCCCAAGTATTTGTAAGTAGTTGCTGTGTTGTCAAACCTCCACACACAATGTCTCTGGGCAGGTCATGGTCTTAATTTGAAATGTAGGACCACCTTGGATCCATGATGCTCTTACCCTCCAATTGTCACAACTCTGGCACTTGACTATGACTCTGTTTTTGTCATTCTTCTTAAACTCAAGTTGAATTCTGACTGAATAATCTTTCATGACCATCTTGTACTCATTGCCATTCTTGAACTTGAGTTTAGGCTCTAGTACAAACTTTTCCATCTCAGAATTAGATCTAAATTCTGGAGATTCATTATCATCTAGACAATTCATATCCTCATCCTCCACATCACTAAACACAGCTTGAGTAAAATTTTTGTTGTTGTCATTGGCAGCACCATTTTCCTTTGTTCTCTTCTTCCTTGTTTCTCTCAACTCCCTCACTTTCTGTTTTAGCAAGGATAACTTCATCTTATTGCTCCTCAGAATCTATGGTGTTGTCAAATGCACCCTCCTCATCACACAATTCCAGGTTCTCAAAAAGAAAATTAGGAACACCTTCCTCTTCCTCGATAGGTTGTTCATTGTTCTCATCCCCTATTTCACTGTTTTTATTACCTTCCTCAATATCAATTCCCATCCCTTCCTCTTGATCACTCGTAGCATCATTATTATTAAGAGGAAGAATCTGACCAAGTAACTCCAAAAAAGAACAATGTGTAAATTCTTGGGGAACTTCAAACCCTGCGTTTGCATTCATAGCTACAATAATTTTTTAAAAACAACTATAAGAAACAAGAATTAAATAATTAAAATAAAGAAAACATCTTAATTCTCTGCTAAGATTTTATTCAAATTTGTATATGTTCAACAATGGAAGCAGGCAAGTAGCACATTGGTCAGCACGTGATTTTGATTCTTGGCCTTAATATAATGAAATAAATTCACTATCCATCCCAATTTTGATTCACTACTATTACTGTTTTTTGAACCTCCCCTCACCCCTTCATCTTTTTTTAAAAAAAATTATTAGAAATAGAACAAACACAATCTAAGGAACCATATAGAACACAAACGGGAAACCATATAAAAAGAAAAAAAAATCTTAAAAAAATATGATCCAGAAAAAAAATCGGATGAAAGATAACCACACTTGGAGAGTCAAGGAGATTTGATAATAAAATCTAGAAATAACTCCCCCACCTGGAGAATCAAGAAATCGGAGATGGATAGCCGAATTTGCTTCGTCCACTGCGTCCATTTAGGGTATTGGGTTTTAGCCGGCAATTGCAGGGTTTTCCACTCCTTCGGATGATTTTCTTCTTCAATTTTTTTTAGATAATTGACTCTTGGTCTTCTTTGAAGTTTTTTTTAATTAAGTGGGCTTTCAAAATTTAAAAGGAGAAAAACAATTGGGGCATATATGTCTTTTTCATATTCTTTGTCGGTCACTGGACGGAAAATAATTTGGGGGGGCGAGTGTGCATCCTTTAGAAACCATAGGGATTTTAGGAGTAAGTATTAAAAACAGGGGGGGTTTCTGTACCTATTTTTCAAACTACGGGGTGGTTTAGAGCTATTAGGCCTTTTGATGGAAGTTTTCTTTTTTTACATTCGAGTTTTTCTTCATTCCAATTTTTTTCTTCATCTACGTAGATTATGGATATGTTTCTTCATTCCAATTTTTTATTTTTTATTTTTTATTTTAAGGTGAAATGGTTATAAATACATATAGAAAAAATAAAATTTAAATTGTGTTAAAAAANTTAGAGCTATTAGGCCTTATTATTCCTATTCCTATTATTATTGTTTTTGTTTTTGTTCAAATAATCCTTTGATATTGTACTAAACACTAAGTAAATTGTGTTGGGAGAGTGTGTGAGGTGGAAACATATCAGCATATAAGGTGTCATGTTTGTTCGGCATCTGCGGATATGGGGGGAATGCATTCCCATATATGCCAATACTCTTTTCCTATTTTAAATCAATTGTGATTTGTCTCAAACAGATCATTCTCTTTTCTTTCTATGTTTTTCAGCAGATGTAAGATTATCAAGATCTCCTAGTTTTGCAAAAGTTCGTTGATCTTGCACCAACTCTTCACAATCTCTGTTTCTAATTATTGAATGTTAATTTTTAGAACAAACTCCATCAAATAACATAAATTTCAACTTAAATATAAACTAGATTCACAACATATTGAACTTTTATAATTGGAAAAAGTAGGTTCTTTTCGAACAACTTAATTTACTCCATTACAATCGTTGTGCTCTTGGAATTTCAAAATTTCATTTGTGATATGATATCTAGGAATGGATTTTCTATTTGGAGCAAAAGAAGTTTAGATACCAATTCATCACAAAATGATATTGGTTCTTATGCTAATTTAATGAATCTAAACTTTAAGCTGACTCTAATTATGTTTTTCTTTTGCAAACCTTAACCTTTAATAAACTTAACTTTAACTGCAACATCTAATCATATGTTTGCAACACACAGAGTGACACACACACCCACACATATTTGAGACCCTATGTGAAATGTAAAAAGTAAGACTTTTTAGATATCTTTCTAAATTTGTTACAAGGTTTGTACTTCATAGTGTACTTAAATACCTTTTCTGATTATACCATATTACCATTAACAATTGATAACTAAGCACTAGCAACTTCATATGCCTGTCGATGCAGGTCTTCTTCATCAACATTGATCAAATATAATTATATACTACCTTCGTCCTAGTGTATTTGTCTAGTTTGACTTTTTCGAGTCTAACTGGACAAACTTTGAACTCCAATTATTCTCAATTTATATTGCATATTAGTAGCATAATGAAATACAGTTTTGAAAGTTCTCAATACAATAAATCTAATAAAGTCGTTTTTATGTTAAAATATATTTCAGTTTTTATTTAATTGAAACTCAAAGTTTGTCCAGTTTGAACGAGTCACAAATACACTGGGACGGAGGGAGTACATATACATGCCATATGTCCTATTATTATGGTATAATACCCTTATAGAAACATCATAAGGTTTATTAAGGCTTCACATAGGTACATAAGAGGTCTTAAATCTTCGCAAAATCATGAGTAAATTCTATAATTCGTCCTTTGTAACAAGGGTTTTCCATATTTAGGCCATGTTTTCCCCAACTTATTTTTTACTTATTACTTATTCTTATTGGAATCAGATTAGATCAGATCAGATCAGATAAAAAATAGCTTTAAATATAACTATATTCTGATTAAATCAGTTAGACCAGATCAGAACTTATTCCAATTAGATCAGAATCAATCAGATCAGGTGAAGAGAACATGGCCGAAGTCTTCTATAATCAAATATTATGCCCCTGATCCTTTTATGGATACCTTTCCATAGATAGCCATTTTCTTTGACCTTCTATCATGTTAGTGTTAAATTGAGGGGTAAAAGTGTAATTTCACAATGATCATATATCTTTCTTGTCGCTGCTGATACGTCGTTTGTCAATTGGAGTCGTTGTCTACTGCAACTCTAGTCTATAAATGTCTTCTTTGGTTGGAATCTAAGTTCGCATCCATAGTCATTATTAAGTTGCCCATCAAGCTAACATCAGAATACATGATTGGACATAGGGTCGATGTGAAATTACACTTTTAGCCTTCAATTTAACACCAATATGTCATAAAGTCAAAGAAGATTGTCTGTGGAAAGGTACCAATAAAAAAAGGACCGCGAATGTAATATTTGATAAAAAAGGACTAAATATGGAAAACCTCCTTTTATAAAGGACTAATTATAGAATCTACCCCAAAAACATCATAAGGTACAAAGTTTAACATAAATGCATAACATGTTCAACACTCTCACAAAATTATTGGGTTAATTAAAATTTTAGAGTATCACATAACAAGTTCAACACCCAACTTCACAAAGGCAAATAGATTAGCCCCCTCAAAGAAGCATCATGGGGTAATCAAAACTTTATGGAATCAAATAGCACGACCCGTCACAAAAAACATCATAGGTTATCAAGGCTTCATAGAGACACACAACTGGCCTATCCTTATCACACTTTATTGGATTTATTTAATCAGTTTTAGACACAATAGGTCCAACACCCTCAAAAGAATATCATTGAGTTAACTTATAATGCTTCATAGAGTCACACACCAAGTCCAACATCCTCACAAAACATTTCTAAGATCTGCATTTGTGTGTGCGTAAATTTGTATGCATGCATATATTTTAAAAGAAAGAATTGGTCAATTCACGTGTCTTATGATGGTAGTTTGGACTCCAACATTTGTAGATGAAGTGTTTTGCTATTTCTTCAACTATATCCTAAAATTTAGGTACTTATTTCCAAACTGATGATCATATTCTTCATGTTCTGGGCATGGGTTTTGTTATCTAAATTATTTATTGATATGAGTTTTAGTTAAATGGTTCGAATCAAATCAAGATTCATATTAAAATAATGAATCAACAACGCATTGTATATAATCCGTAATTTGACGACTATATCATGTAAAATGAAGCCAAATAGCAAATTAACTCATGCATTATAATGCAGGTTTTAGTTCCTCATTGCATACACACCTTTGCTTTGTGGAAAAACCATATCCCTTCTAAGTTAGACATTCTTAATCTCATTCCCAATTGATATAATTTTGTTTTGTTTCAGGGTTATGCTGCTAGGGAGTTTTCCAAACAAGGAGTTAAGCCTGGAGAGCTAGCAGTAATTTCCAAAGAGGCGGTAAGCCGTTTTCATTGTTGCCCTCCTTATTACCACAACTACCATAAAACATTGTTTTTATTTATTTTAACAAATGGGATTGATTTTTTCTTACGAATTATACTGGATCTGGGGTTGTTCATGGTGTACATATTTTTAAGTTTTACATTTCATGATAATCCACAAACTGTATCCACCATAAAAATTTGCACATCACTTTGATGATAATTTTATTTGCGTCAATATTACATTACCTTTGTGATATATAGAACTTTAATAGTTATAGAGAAATAAAACTACTCAGCTAGTCAACCACTGAGACCATTCACCTTCACCTGTTGAGGAGATTGATGGAGCAGTATTTAGGGACAAGAAGAGGGACCTACACATGGTGTTTAAAGATGTGGAAACTTATTGAGGTGCCTAGAGGAGAGAGGGTTACTAATTGTTTATATCTACTGTTAAGGACATGCATGATGGATGAGGACTATTCTGAGGTCGTTAGGACTTAGGAGGAGATGAGGTGTCTTTGGCCACTTCCCAATGGAGATGAGGTTACATTAGGACTGCTATTAGTTCTTTTCTCTTTTCTTTGGTGTTGGATGTTTGACAAACCTATTTAGGAGGAGGTACCTTGGTGCATGTTGTTTGTAGATGATGTTGTTTTGAATGATGAGAGACGTTAGATACTCAATAATAGGTTGAAAGTGTGGAGAGAGACCTTGGAATCCAAAGGTTTAAGATTCAGCATGACTAAGATCGAGTATGTGAAATGTTTCTTAAGTGGTAGGTCGAGTGGGTAGAAAGTGGACGTGAGGATTGATTTGCATCTAGTGCCTAAAAGGAACCAATTTCAGTACCTTGGATCCATCATTGTGGTCGATGTGGAGACAGTTGAGGATGTTGTTTATCGTATTGGAGCTGCTTAGAAACTGGAGGCTTGCTTCAGGCGTCCTTTGTGACAAAGGATTTCGACAAACTTGAACGGGAAGTTTTATTGGGTAGTAATTAGACTAGCTATGTTGTATGAGTCTATTGTACCTTCATTATTGTATGAATAATCAAAACTCATTTACAATAATAGTTTAATATTTATTATTTGAATGTATGGATTGTATGCATGAATTCGTGTTTTGTTAGGGTCTATCATACCTTCATTCTCAAAACCACCAATGCTTGAAATTCGGAATTTCCCTTTTCTGCTGACAGAATGGCATATACAGAATATGATATTGCCTTGGTCTCACATAGAACAGAAAATCTGTCGTTGATCCTTGACTATAATGTAGTTTTCTTCCACTTTTGTTAGACAAGGAAACTTTTTTTGAACACTAATAACTCCATTACAATGTAGTATCTGTTAATACTAAAGAATCTTCTATCATATGATAAAAAGAAAAAAACATTTCTAATATTTGTGGATTCCCTTCAGAGGTAAAAGTATCTTTCTTTATGCTACATTTATTTATCATTTCCAATCTTCACTTCCTCTTCTTCTCATATTGACTGTATTTTTTACGCATTTCATTGATTCTTATTCAAATACTTAAGCATTCTTTGTTTGAATATAGCATCGCGTTGTATAAAAAAATCTGTGTTTCCTTTTCAGGTTGCTCCATATGAGCGCCCAGCACTTAGCAAGGCTTACCTCTTTCCTCAAGGTAGTCTAATACTCCCTCTGTCTAGAATTAAATTTCCCATTTTGGATTACGAGGTGACTGAAGTTATTTTCAATTTAATTTATATGATTATAAGTGTAAAATTCAAAAATAAAACTTATATATTTAAAACTACATGAAAAGGACTACAAAACTCTTAAGCCAACTATTTCATTTCACATTTATTTTAATGCCACCTTTTTCCTCTACCTATTCTTCACTGTTTTGTCTAGTTAATACTTTGTTTGTGCAGCTGATGTTCTTTCACATTCCTTGTTTATATGTTATTCATTTTGATCTTCTTTAGGAGCTGCTAGACTCCCAGGCTTTCATGTATGTGTTGGAAGTGGAGGGGAAAGATTATCTCCTGAGTGGTACATAGAGAAAGGTATTTGTTGCTTTCTAGTGCTTGCAAACCAACTTGTAGTTTTAATCTATTCTGTTCATTTTAAAGTGTAATAGAACAACTTTTTAAGCTCAAAGCTGAAATTTTAAATATAACAACTAAGTCTTTATCAGTTTATCCCAATTAACATATGGAAAAAAATCTTTAATGGGACACAGGCCTTGTTTAGTGTGCATTCCTCTCTTAACTCATAGCCACTTTTTGAAAAAAACAACCACTAAGTCTTATTCCAAGTAACAAAAGGGAAAAATCTATAATGGCACAGAGGTCTCATTTTGTGTGCATCCTTCTTTTAGCTAATTCGTTTTCTGAGAATCTGTTAAATTTAGTTATTTATGAATTAGGTTATTCTCGTTATTTTTGAAAATCAGTTTTTGGCATTCTGGTGAGCAGAATGATCAACTTTTCAGAATGATCAAGTGATTCTACCCTGTATAAGAAATATGTAGAACACCAAGTGGTTCTAGTTGACTTCTAGAATCAGAATCACAAAATCTAGTTAGAGAAACTAAATCAAATTAGGCCATAACTACAGCAACTATCTATGTCTTGTCGGGCTTGTGATAATTTTTATGCAAGTAGGGAAAACTCATGTTGATGATGAATTCAATTTTTTTTCAAAATCTTATTGCATGAATTGGTGATGTTAATTAATTTTAGATAATCAATTTACACTACAAATGTATGCTACTGTACATTTAGGACTAAGGTAGTGATGATTGATGGGGCTAGTTAAAATAAAGAGGGAACTCACACTTAAACTTTCTCATTGCTTTTTTAGACAACTACCTTAATAGGAAGACATGAATGAAAAATCTCTAAACAAATCAGGGAAGTCTTTTCCATTTTGGATTACGATGTTTGACCAAAGTTATTTTTAACTCAACTTTTTCAAAATATTGGTATGTAATTGAAAAATAAAAATTATATACTACCTTTGTCCCAATGTGTTTGTCCAATTTGACTTTTTGTTGTCAAACCAGACAAATTTTGACAACCAATTAAATAAAAATTACTGAATTTGTTGTAGGGTTTTCAATTTTTAAATAGGGACGATTTGTCCTTTTTACTTTTATATCTTTATTTTCTTTTTAAGCCTATTTTTGTTATTGATTCGATAAAATAACATTCTACGGAGTAGTCATGTTACTTCTTATTTCGTTGAACATTGGACATAAATTAAATATGTAATTTTTTAATTTTTATTCCACACCAATTTTTAAATAAATTAAATTGAAAATAACCTCAATTAAACATCGTATCACGCAACGGGAAGATAATTTATGGATGGAGGGAGTATTAATATTCGTATTTGGATTCAATTTTTTCAAATATGAACCGGTAGACAATTTTTTCAATTCTAAAATCCAATCGAAATTATTCGCTTCATTTGCAACCCTACATGCATGTATGCTTTCATTTATTGGATGAAAGGTAAATAATTTTTCCAATAGAGAGTATATGTAAGATGTTGCTAGGGCAAACCGCGATCAGAATATAACAACGAACACCTACGCTCTTCGATCGTAATTTCGTGCACCCTAATCCCCGATAAACCCCTCAGCCCGGCCAGTTCCTAACGTACCCCCGCACCCCTCCAGTATGCACCACACAAATTTTGGTCAAACATTTGACCCCAAAGTTAACAAAATTTGGACGGTGCGTTAGGGACAGGTTAGCTGGATTTACCGGGGGTTAGGGGTATGAACAATCAATTATACGATCGTAGCATCGTAGGTGCTCCAATTTAATTGGTGTTATAATCTTACACCAATAAATTGGTTTATAAATATAGTTCCAAATACTATTGAAAGGTAAAACAAGTATATATAAGATGAAGGTAGTTTCATAAGTCTTTCAATGACTACTTCATGGGCGACAACATGGTGTCATATTTTCCGGACTTGTTCCTTACAGCTATATTATTTCTCAAAAAATTAAATCTTGTCTTTATGGTCACAGGTATTTCATTGATCCTGAGCACAGAAATTGTGAAAGCAGATCTTTCTTCAAAGACACTTGTTAGTGCTGCCGGGGAAGCATTTAAATACGAAGTTCTGATTATTGCAACCGGCTCAACAGTGAGTTCTGTATAAAAGGGTTCATTATTTCTATGTTTAATTGTCTTAGAGTGCCCATGACATGGGTTTTCTATGATGTTCCAGGTTATAAGATTGACAGATTTTGGTGTGCAAGGTGCTGATTCTAAAAACATCTTGTACTTGAGAGACATTGATGATGCTGATAAGCTTGTGGAAGCATTGAAATCAAAGAAAAATGGGAAGGCTGTTATTGTTGGTGGAGGGTACATTGGCCTTGAGCTTAGTGCAGTACTTACAATGAACAACATTGATGTCACTATGGTATACCCAGAACCATGGTGCAGTAAGTACACGACCAACATAATTTGTCTGTGATAATGTTACTTAGAAGGGTTTGGAAGCCATGATTCTTGAGTTATAAACAGTCGTTTTATGTTGATTTTTTCCCTCCATGGCAGTGCCTCGGCTTTTCACAGCTGATATTGCTGCTTTCTACGAAGGATATTATGAGAACAAAGGAGTCAAAATCATCAAGGGTACTGTAGCAACTGGGTTTGTTTCCCATGCTAATGGGGAGGTATGTATTTATCACCTCTTAATTACTCTTGCCGTCCCAAAGTAGAAGTTTATATTAACTAGACATAGAGTTTAAGGGAAGTGTTTACAAGTGAAAAATGTGTGGTTGGAATTGATATGAAAAGAGAGAAATAATGAAAGTGTGTTTATTTTGGGACCGAGGGAATATTATTTATTGGATCCTGAAAGTCTTTGTTATGAACTTAATAGTGTTCTTTGTTCCATTTGATCAGGTGAAAGAAGTTATCCTGAAGGATGGCAGGGTATTGGAAGCTGACATTGTTGTTGTAGGTGTTGGAGGAAGACCTCTTACAAAGTTGTTTAAAGGTCAGATTGAGGAGGAGAAAGGTGGAATTAAGGTGTGTTATACTCTAACTTGTTTTTTAGATTTTAGAATTTAATGTGAACTTATGTAAAAAGCATACTGGCAATTTGTTGATCTCTTCACATAACATGAAATTCATAGAGAGGGAAAATGAGGAACGTCACTTTCATTCCTTGGAGGAAAAGATTCAATCCATTATTACAATTGAGAAGAGAAGAACGAACGAACACAGTAAATATAAAAGAAGACAGCCAAGCAAAATATACATGCCATGTCATTTAACTTATCCTTAACCGACTAACTAAGAGTAAAGATAAGCTACTCCAACACCCCCTCAAGTTAGAGGGTGCTTGAACCCCCAACTTGGCAAGAAGTTTACGATGCACAGTGCTAGGTAAACTCTTGGTGAAGAGGTCAGCAAGATGCTCTCTTGCACAAAACAACAATCCATCTCCATGCGTTTGGTAAGTTCATGATAGACAGGGTTAGTAGCTTGGTAGATGGCAGTTTTGCAGTGAACTAGAATAGGGACAATGTGAGGAACACCAAGATCAGCAAATAAGCGAGAGAGCCAAGCTATTTCAGCAGTGACACATCTAATTGAATGACACTCAGCTGCTGCTGAGCTGAGAGAAATAGTGGCTTGTTTCTTGGTCTTCCAAGAGACAGGACTGATCGACCTGTGTGCATTAGGGCATGCTGCCCAATCGAAATCACAGAGGCCTGTAGTGTGAAATCAAGAGAAATGTTGAAGTAGAGACCCTGGGAAGGAGCAGAATTTAGGAATCTCAGAGTATGTTGGGCTGCCTCCGAATGGGGAATTCTAGGATCTTGCATAAACTGGCTTATAAATTGGACTGTATAAGCAATATTTATCTGGTATTAGTTAAAAAAGTAAGCTTGTGGATCTGAAAGAGGAGGTCCTGTGTTGACCTTTAGCTGTAGATTGGTGTTAAAGGGACAAACAACATGAGAGGTGGATTACAATCAAACTCCTGGAGCAAATCCACGTAGTGAACTTTATTTGAGTGAGAATTAAGCCAGTATTATCATAAACAGCCTCCAAACCATGAAAGTAACCTAAAGTACCTAGATCTTTGATCTTAAAATTCGAAAGCATTGTCGAGGTGATTTTTGAGACTTGTCATTTCAGCAATAGTTGACTATGACAATTATGTCATCAACGTAGACAGCTAGATGAACAACACGAGACTCTATTCTCTTAGTGAAAATATGATAATAATTTTTGGAAGAAGTATAACTCGTTGTGCTCAAAGTTGCACAAAGTTTGGCATACCATTACCTTGAAGAGTTGAAGCCCATATAATGATTTTTTTAGTCTAAGGACTTCGTGAGGATTATGAAAGTGCGTGCTCATAGGTGGCTTCATGTATATTTCTTAATCTAAATCCCCATGTAAGAAGGCATTGTCTACATCAAGTTGAAAGATAGGCCAATGGTGTTTCACAACAATAGTTGGAAGAGCTCGGACTGTTTTCATTTTGACCACTGGAGAGAAGGTTTCATGGTAATCTATCCCTGATTTTTTGTGTACAACCTCTGATGAGTAGCATGGGCTTGTAGCTCTTTGGAGTGCCATTATATTTTACACCCCGGTTCAAGTTGGAAAAGCTCGGACTGTTTTCATTTTGACCCCTGGAGAGAAGGTTTCATGGTAATCTATCCCTGATTTTTTGTGTACAACCTCTGATGACTAGCCTGGAGTCAATACCGTCTGTGTACTGAAATTGTACACTTTATATAAAGGCTTTCTTCCGATAACAATAACCTCGGAACACATATGCTGGCTCTATCTTCAAATTTATGCCTTCATTGTTTTTGTGTGGAATGTAACATAGACACCCAAAGACTCCTAGATGAGCATATTGTTGTATCTTTCCAAAAATAATTTCATATGGATAATTTCCCTTCAAAAGTTTGGTAGGGAATCTATTGATGAGGTAGGTGACAATGAGGACACAGTCCCCCAAAATCTTAAGGGTAAATGAGATTAGATGGCTAAAGCTCTTGAGGTTTCAACTAGATACTTGTCTTTCAATTCCTCTACAATTCCATTTTGTTGAGGAGATTTTATACTAGCCATGTGAGTAGAAAATGCTTGTGAAGAAGAATGTGAACCAGCTGAACCATGTGTCTTGTTATTCTGAATTGCACCAAGAAACTTCATGAATTAATTTCATAATCCTAGAGTGATCCCGAGTATCACCCTTTATTTCATTACTTGAATCTAAACATTTAGATTCATTTGTATTCAAAACATTTGCTGCCAACTTCATCATTTGTATTCAAATGATGAAAGATTCTTTGTTTCATTATTGTAACCATTATAATGATTGTAATTTGGGGGTTGTGCCCTTACGTTTGAGGATATATGGGTGCAGACTGATGGATTTTTCAAGACAAATGTTCCTGATGTATATGCTGTTGGGGATGTTGCAACCTTCCCTCTGAAGTTATACAATGAACTCAGAAGAGTTGAACATGTTGATCATGCTCGTAAATCTGCGGAACAAGCTGTGAAGGTATCTAATAGCGCTACTAATGCATTAATTTAACCTAGAGAGTAGCTTGTAAGAATTTTTTTTGGTACACCACCCACAAACACATACCTTTGTTCTCAAAAACAGTCTGTGTGGGGTCGGGTGCAATGGTGCAGGTGCATAGACAACAGATGAGAACAACAATTATGTATGTGTTGTACAAGTTGGTGTACATAAGGCACAACCAAATTTGAATAGCAATATCTATCATTTTAGGGGTCAAATTGAAATGCGTAAAGTTTTATACTCTTCAAATGTTGTCAAATACTCGATATGGAAAAGGTTGTGAGATTTTTGTCAAAATATATATCATTTTCTCAAATGTTCCCGTATGATAGATATTTCTATACATAAGGCACACCGTATTCTGTTGCTGTTTTTTCGTAGTTTTATATTAAAATGGTAATTGCTGTAATTATTCCACAAAAGTTATCGTTTTTTTGTGCGTGTGCGCTCCATAACAGGGCTATGCACTATTAAAGTGAGGGAAAAATACTCCCAATAGTAACAACTACTACTTGGTGCAGGCAATATACGCAAGCGAGCAAGGGAGAACCATCGATGAGTACGACTATCTTCCCTACTTTTACTCCCGTGCCTTTGATTTGTCGTGGCAGTTCTATGGCGACAATGTGGGCGAAACGGTGCTGTTTGGGGACAGTAACCCCAAGTCTCCAAACCACAAGTTTGGACAGTACTGGATCCAGAACGGGAAAGTTATTGGTGCGTTCTTAGAGAGCGGGACTCCCGAAGAGAACAATGCTATTTCCAAAGTTGCAAGGGCTCAGCCTACTGCCCTAAGCTTGGAAGAATTGGCAAAGGAGGGCATTAATTTTGCTGCCAAGATCTGAAATGTCTTTGCTACTTTATACTTCTCTCATGTATTCAACGATTATTATGTGTGTTTGTTTTTGTTTAATAATGTGCTGACTGGACATGCACATACCAGGGCTTTGCACCTTGTTTTCTTACATGATCATGTTGAGGTCACTTTTTTATTTGATGAAATGATATTTTGTTGATTTCCATAGCCAACAAGGCTACACAGAGGGACTAACCACTGGATACTGCTAGAGAGAATGTTTTTGTTTGATAGTGAGATGGAGTAGTGCATTATAACTCAAATAACTTGATACTCCATTTGAGACTACATGCCAAAAGTTTTGCAAATAAGAATTATATTATTTTATGAGTAATGAAAATAGATAAAAATGTATATAATATTTCACCTGTAAACATGCTAGGTAAATTGGTCCTACATTCAATTTAGAAAAGTGGAATTTGTGGGATAGGGTAACAACACTGCGTAAAATGAATTGGTGTATGATGAATTTGAATATATTTAGTGGATTTGGTGAATTGCATGAAACACTTTTAGATTAAAGTTATTTCATTTTATATAAAGATATACTCCCTCCGTCTATAATTAATGTTCCCGATTTGATCGGTCACGCATATTAAGGAAAGATGTAAATGTCATTGACTTTCCAATTTTACCCCCACCTCATTGCTCTTGTTGGGGAAAAACCGTGGCTGCCTGGCCCACCATACCACCACAAATTTTGATTTGAAGCTATAGTTAAGGTTTTGGCAAAGTCCAATTCCAAAGAAGAAGAAATTGAATTGGAGGAGAATGAGAAATCAAATATGAAAGAAAACAAAGAGAAGAAAGAGAAAGAAGAAATCAAATTAAATCCATCAAGGAAGAAAAATCAGATCTGGAAAGAAATAGAGAGGAAGAGAAAATCTAAGCGAAACTGGGACAACGACGAGAGGATAAAGGAGGCGGCGATAATGTAGACCAACGAGACTGGAGGAGGCGACGAGAATGGAGGCTCGAGACGGCAACGATGATGGGGACTGCGCAATCGATAATGAAGACCGACCAGGCTGGAGGCAGCGGCGATGATGGAGTCTGGATGAGGCAGCGGCGCAGATGTAGGGAAAAATAGATCTAGGATTGATGAAGGAGGTGAAGAAGTTGGGTTTTATGGAAAGGGTAAATATGACATTTAATCTAAAATTATTTGCCAAAAAAGGAAATGAGAACTTTAATTGTGGATATCCAAAAAAGGAAAGTGGAACTTTAATTATGGACGGAGGGAGTATTAACCAGACAAGAAGTATCTCTACTGATTATGGAAGTTCTATCTATCTCAAACATATCCTGGAACGCACAAATAAATCGGACGTGTCTGTTGACGAAACAATGCAATTTTATGTGAAACGTTTGAATGTTTTGTCCAAGACATTTTGAACGAATGTAGTAGTTATTCTTCAATCAACGCGTTTGACAGTTTTCTACGTGAATCATCTTGTTTAATCGTGCAACATTCGTATGTTTAAAATCAAACATTAGAATGTATGCGTCTTTTTGCAAAGGAGTCCCGTGGTTATCGTTAACATTCGAATGTTTTGCCAAAACCAATATAACTTTTGCATATATGCGCGTCAATTATTTGGTAAAATATTTTAATATTCTTTTCACATCTTGTTTTGTAAAATTTAGACAGTTTTAAATATGTAATTATTATATTTTATTTTTATACTAATTTTTAAATAAAATAAATTTAAAAAATTCAAATTTTATCTCGTTTTAACTTTCATGTAATCCATTTAGGAATAAGTTACCCATCACTCCCAAAAAATGACAAATTTGTAGTGACATAAAATTGATTAGGAATTAAGGAATGTGTGATTTTAGTACTCTACGTCCCAAATTAAACAATCTGTTTCAATTTACGATGTTTGATTGAAATTATTTTTAATTCGATTTATTAAAGAATTGAAACAACATTAAAAGTTCTACGTAACAAGAAGTGATATGACTACATTATTTTACGGAATAACTAGTGAAACTAATAATAATAAATTAATGAATTTAGACACTGTGAATAGTGAACAAACAATTTAATTGGAACGGATGGAGTATTAGTTGTCAATTTTGTCTTTACATTATACTCCGTAATAGTGTAAAATATAATGTGTTGTGTAGATTAATAGTAAATAGATATGATATGATATGTATGTTAATAATTACTTCGGTAATAGGTAAATAAGATACTTTAATTGAAAGTGTAAATAATTATTTGGACGAATGAAAAATGAAACTGATTTTTTTAAGGAAAAATAACTCAAAATAATCCCAACTTTACCCGGTTTTTCAAAAATAATCTCATCTTTCAGTGTGATGCATAATAATCCCAACTTTACTAAAATTTGTCAGTTTTGGAACGCCGTTAAGTTTCTAACGGAGGGTTAACGGAAATGCCCGTTTTAGGCAACAAAATGAAAGTTGAGATTATTTTTAATGAATTTTCATTTTTTTTAATTTTTTTTAAATTTTTCAATGGAAATTAACTTGAAATTGGTAAAAGTAAAATAAAATGAGAAATGTAACTAAAATGATACAAAAATGAAAAAATGAGAAATGTAACTAAAATGAAAAAATGAGAAATGTAACTAAAATGATACAAAAATAATAAAATAAATAAGGTAAAAAATGAAAAAATGAGAAATGTAACTAAAATGATACAAAAATAATAAAATAAATAAGGTAATCAATGGAAATTAACTTGAAATTGGTAAAAGTAAAATAAAATTATACGGGTGGGTTTTAATATTTTACGCATTATACAAAGTATTAGCATATCACTTCTTATTTTTTAGAAAAAATTATCTACAATAATTCCAACCTTACCGAACGGCTTGTTCTTTTAAAAAATAAGTAGTACATTAAGACTCCATATAATGTGTAAAATGTTAAAACCCACGACTCCGTATATATTTATTTTATTTCTTACCAGTTTCTGTTTAATTTCTATTGATTACATTATTTATTTGATTAATTTTGTATGGTTTTAGTTATTTTTCTCATTTTCATTATTTTTTATATCTATTTTTTTATAAGGTAAGAATAATCTTTAAAAAAGAAAAATAAATGGAGGTTGAAAGTAATTCAAAAAATTTAAATAAAAATTTCAAAAAAAATTAAAAAATAAAAATTCATCAAAAATAATCACAACTTTCATTTTGTTGCCTAAAACGGGCATTTCCGTTAACCCTCCGTTAGAAACTTAACGGCGACCCAAAACTGACAAATTTCAATAAAGTTGGGATTATTATGCATCACAGTGAAAGGTGGAATTATTTTTGAAAGAGCAGGTAAAGTTGGGATTATTTTGGATAATTTTTCCTTTTTTTAAATGGAGAGGAGTATGTCTTACTCCCTCCGTCCCTGAATTATTTACACTTTATTCAAAACAAAGTAAAATCTCAAATGTTTTCAATTCATTTTATTTAAAGATTGATATATAAATAAAAATAAAACTTACATATTTAAAAAGTACATCAAAAGTTTTACAAAACAAGAGGTAATAAGAATATTTTATATCGTCAAACAGTCAATGAAAATACACAAATAAACAAAAGTTCTCGTAATTTTTTAATAGTAAATAATGCAAATCATTTTGGGATGGAGAGAGCAAATTACACCATATATGATTAAAAAAAAAGCTAAGGATACATGCATCAAGTCTATCACAAACACACAAACAATTTATTGTCTCTGAAAACCGAGTCGAAAACCAAAGTTTTAATATTTAAAAATAAAAAATGGTTTTAAAAAAATCGAAACCCAAACCAAAACATTTCATTCGATTTTAGTATGTAAAATTTTGAAAAAAGTGCACTGTTTACCTCTGAACTCTTCAGAATTGCATGATTTATCCCTAAACGTTAAAATTACTTCGTTTACCCCCAAACTCTTTTGAAATTGCACGATTTAATGCTGAACATTAAAAAGTACACCAAATACCCACGAACAATTTAAAATGTTGCACCGTTAGTCCTAAAATGCTAGATAGGGAGTACGTTGTTCCCACAAATGAAAATTACGAGTATAATTGATCTGGACCTTGTGAATTCTCCAAAGTACACTACCCCAAAATTATCTTCTTTACTTAACACAATCTTAGAAGTTGTCGTTCATCAATTGATCTGGATCTTTGACAATGGTATCTTCATTGTCGAGTTCCAACCGCCGTGAGAAGAAGGCTTTAACGTACACGGAGACAATTTATAGCTATCTCTGATGGCGAAGTTTGACTTAGATCTACGCTACGGTACAGTCATGTATATTGTGTGTCCTAATCAATTAAGAAACCGTGTAATTCACATTGTGATTGACCGTGAGAAATAATGCTATACCATCTTCCCTATATATGCTACTCCATCCGTCATAAAATGATCTTTCCGGTTCGATTTACGAGGTTTGACTGATATTATTTTCAATTCAATTTATTTGATTATAGGTACAAAATTAAAAAAATAAATTTATATATTTTAAAACTACATAAATAATTCTACAAAACAAGAAGTGACATGACTATATTATGTTATCAAATAACTAACAAAAATAAGTAAAAAAATTGATTATAATTTGATCATGAAAATAGTGATTGAGAAGATCATTATTTTAGGACGGAGGGAGTAGAACAACTTGGATGACTTGCATATTATCTAGCCAAGTATCCTCTACTCGAAATAATGTAAGTGTGCAACGTCTTAAATTGTTCAGGGGTATTTGATGCACTTTTTAAAATTCACGGGTAAATCGTGTAATTTTAAAAAAAATTAGGGATAAAAAGTATACTTTTTAATGTTCAAAAGTAAACTATACAAAAGAATACGAGGTAAATGGTGCACTAAATCTCGTAAAACTTTTGATTTTGATTTGATTTGGTCAGTTAACCAAATAGTGGACACCCCTAAATCTGATCTGACAAGAGCAATTCACTGCAACCATTAAATAGAGCTAAAAGATTAAATTCACGAACATAATCGAACCCACAATCTTGAACAGTAATAATAAAAATATAAATGCAGATATCTCTTTTTGGGGACACAAGGCTTTATGATATTATTGACTGAAGTCGACATATATAAACTTATATCCACTTTCACTTTAGTATGTTTGGAAACATGGATTTGGATTTTAAATTCGGATTTGGCTCAAATTCCATGTTTGGAAAACTTAAAAATCTTGAATTTAGATTTGAGTCAAATTCTTCTCATTCATAACAAAGCTTAATTTGAAATTCATGCACCTCCTCTAGTCATTTGAAATTCAAGATTTCAAATTT